TTCTTTTAATATCCTAGTTACAGAATTAGAGAAAGAATGCCAAGAGATTAAAAGAAGCTACTAAATACCAATCTGTTCAGTCCTTCTGTTCCTGTTTATTGTTCTCTGAATATTTGTCAGGAAACAAGCTAGCTAATAGCACAGAGCCTTGAAGCTGGTTTTATTACTTCAGAACCAGTTTAAGTTCTATCCTAAGTTTTCTATTTACACATGAAGGAGACATATTTTTTTCTTCACCAGGACCCAGATTCTTCTGACCCCTGCTCAGGGTCCTCCAAACATGGTCATGCATTCATGGTTTCTGTGACAGCTACTTCTTCCTGAACGAGCGTGACTGGCTAAGCACAGTGCTACACTATGCAATGCTAGTGGCACTGTAGACACTGACACACAGAGGCAGGCTTGACATGCAGACTTTTAAAGGTTTCTTGTATTATTTTATGTGTATGTGTGTGGGCCCAAATGTATATATGTGCACCACGTGCATGCAGGAGCTGCAGAGGCCAAAAGAGGGTATTGGATCTCCTGGAACTGGAGTTAAGGATGGTTTTAGCTGCCATGTGGCTGCTGGGAACCTAATCACACTCCTCTGTAAGAGCAGCCAATGCTCTTAACTACTGAGATACTTCTCCAGCCCCACCCCCATCCCTCCCACGCCACCCCCCTCAGTATGCAGTTTTGTTAGGGGTTTTGCTTTCTTGGGGCGTTCAAACTCCAGTTGCTCTGTTTGCTTCCCAAATCTTAACGTGAACACAAACCAAAAACAGAACTTTGCTTCTGATTCTGATTTAATTTATATTTAAAATTTTCCCATTAAATAGACAGATCATGTCATGGGTGAATGGTCATTGTCTTTCTTGCAAATATTTCTATCAGGAGGAATTCTAATCGATCGTTTAATTCTCACAGTATTGCCAGGCTAAATTCTGCCTTAAATATGCACAGCTTGGAAAAATTAGGTCCTGTTTCCTTATATCAATGAAGGATAACCATTATCATTAAAAAACAGTTAATTTATTTGGTCTCAGACTATTTCTATTGACAGAATTGTTCTACCAGCATGCAAAACTTAATTTTTTAGTCGTTTATATTTCTTCATAGCAATCATGGGTTGTGAGGAAAGGTGCTTCACTTCAGAAGCAGGCTGGCCTGCAGAGGAGCGCTTCTGTACGGGCTGAGCTGAATGAACACTCACAGCACAGCATAGCACAGAATGTGACCTCCTTTGGGATTCGTGTTCATTTCATTTTCCCCAATAATAATTTTCACAATTACTTTGGGATAGCATTCAGTGCTTCAGAACTTCCCTGAGATTTGGGCATTTAGAAATTTTCTCCTTCGGCATGAGTTTGCTTGTGTTAGCTGCCCCACAGAACACAGCAGTTTGCTAGTAGTTGTCCTCTCTGTCTCTGACTTGTCGAGATGAAGATTACCCCCAAACAAAGCAAAGGAAATACTTCAAATTTTTGAAGTCCTTCAATTTTTTAATTATTTTTATTTTCTATTGTTTGAGAATTGTATATGTGCACGCTATATGATTTGATCAACTCTATTCCCCATTACTTCCCCTCCATTTCCTCCCCTATTCTCTATTTTACACTTGAGAACTCAATTTCATGCTCTGTTTTTGAAAAACCAGGAAGTCTCCTGGATGTTGCGGGGGGGGGGGGGGGGGTGTCTCCTGGAGCCTGGGGAGCCTCTCAGGGGCTGCGTCCCTGAAAAAAGCCTGACTCTTCCTCTCCCTGCACTTATCAGCTCCTAACAGCTCCTCTGCTTAGGATGGGACTTCATGAGACCATCCTCATCCATTCTGGGATTTTGTCTAGCCTAATCTTGCACAGGTCTTTTGCTTGCATTAGAGCCACTGTGAGTTCATGTGTGCAACTGTCCTGCTATATCTAGAGAACACTTTTTTTGCAGCAGTCATCCACTACCTTTGGCTCTTATAATCTTTCTACTCCCTCTTCCATGATGATCTCTGAGCCTTTGGAGGAGAAAGTGTGATATAGATGCCCCATTTGTGGTGGAGCACTCCATGGTCTCTTTTTACTCTGCATGTTAACCAGTTGTGGGCCTCTGCATTGATCACCATCTACTACAAAAGAAGCTTCTCTGATGAAGGTTGAAGATGTACTATTCTGTGGTCATAAAATGGGTATTTAGAGGCAGTTTAATACTATCCCATTTAGCAGAATAATAAGAGTAGATTCCTCCCTAGGTCCTATGACATACCCGGCCATGGATTCTTGGCCCTTCTAAGGGTGCTGGGCATGAGTTCCATTTCTGTGGAGAGGAGCAGGCCTTAAATTCCATCCAACAGTGATTGGTTACTTCCATAACAGCGGTGCCATTATTTCACCAGTGCACATATCTTGCCAGACCAATCATTATTGTATCTTATAAGGGTTCATAACTGGGTAAGACTGATGATCACTTTACTTCCCCAGTAGTGTGGATAGCACCTTCCAGCAATATTAAAACTAGTCATTAGGAATGGAGCTTCTAGAGCAACACAGCTTGATTTCTCATGTCCTGTGACTTAGATACATGGTGTCTTCAGCAATAGGGTCTTACCATCAATTTCTGCAGGGTAACGAAGAGTAATGTCAATAGTCCTTAATGTTCCAGGGTCTGTGGGATCCCACTTAACAAACAACTCAAAAAAAGATAAGCCATACCTGGCACTGGACTTTTTATTTGATAATCTAGGTGTATCAGAGAGGCATTGTCCTCCTGTTATAGGTTAACTTCATTTAAAATATTTTAAATATATGTGTGTGTGTGCGTGCATGCATGCATATGTGTGTGTGTGTGTGTGTGTGTGTGTGTGTGTGTGTGTGTGTGTGTGTAGTCCAGGAAGCTTCTACAGTATAAGGTTTCCACATAGCTTTTACAAAGGACATTAGTGCTAGTTATTGTTATCCCTCCACACTCCTCCTTCTCTATCCTGCCATCCCATCCTCCACCCCGTTTAGCCTTTCCTACTCCATTATTCCTCATTCCCCTTTTGTACCTCCTGCACTCCATCTTCCCTCCCTGAAAGGCCCCATCCCACACACTTGGCCGCTCACTAGTTTCCTGATATTTGTGGGTTTACACACACCCATGTAAAGAGTCAAAGCCCGTATCCACATATGAGATAGAATGTAGTGTTTGTCTTTATGGGCTGGGTTACCAAATTCAGAATGATTAGTTCTAGTTATACTTAACCTTCAAATTTGATCATTTCATTTCAGTTGAATAATATCCTATTGTGTAAATTACCACATTTTCATTATCCATTCATCAGCTGGATAGTTTTGGTTGTTTCCATTTCCTGGCTGTTATGAATAGAGTAGCAAGGAACATGGATAAACAGGTATCTCTGTAGTAGGCTATAGAGTCCTTTGGAAATATGCTAGGAGTGAGTGGTACAGCTGTATCATGTGGTAGATCTTTTTCTAGTTCATTCAGGAACTTCCAAACTGGTTACAATAGTGCCTGCACCAGCACACTCCCACCAGCAGTACCTTTCCCCATACCCACACCAGCATTTGTTGTCATGTGGTTTTGTTATCTTAGCCATTATGACTGGCATAAGATGAAATCTCAAAGTAGTTTTAATTCACAGTTCCCTTATGGATAAGGATAGAAAATACTTTTAAAATTATGTCTCAGTCCTTTGTGTCTCTTCTTTTGAGACTGTCTAGTTCCAAGCACCATTTTCTAATCAGGCTGTGGGGTCTTTTTTGATTTTTGGTTTTTTGGTGTTCAGTTTTTGAATTCTTTGTATATTCTAGACATTAACCCACTGTCAGATGTATAGCTGGTAAAGATCATTTCCCATTCTGTTAGCTGCCTCTTCGCTCTATTGGTGGATGGGCTATTTCGTTTGTTTTGGTTTGGCTTAGATTTACTATTGTCTTTGACTGAATGATTCAGTTCCTGCACCTTGTCTTCAGGCCCTGATATTTTCTCTTCTACTTGATTTATTTTATTGGTGAGGCTTCCCACTAAGTTTTATTCACCTTTCTGAATTTCTTTATTTCAAGTTTTATTTTTGTTTGGATTGTCTTCAGAAACTCTGTTTTAAAATGTATTTTCAGGGCAGAGAGATGGATCATTGGTTAAGAACACTGGTTGTTCTTGCAGAAGACCTGAGTTCAAATCGCAGCACCCACATGACAGCTAACAACTGTCCTTAACTCCAGTCACAGGGGATCCAACAGCCGCTTCTCACCTCTGTGGGCATTGCACGACACGGGTACACTTACCTACATGCAAGCAATACATGCATACACATAAAATAAAAACAATAAAAATTTTTTTAAAGTTTAAAATATATTTTCATATTTTGAATTATCTTCCTTTCCTCATTCAACTATATGTGTTTTCATTGATCTTCATTCCAGCATCTATTCTTACCTTCCTTGAGTTCCTTGAACATATTTATAAGTGCCATTATAAAATCATTGTCTTGTATGACATTTAAGTTGCTTTTTCTCAGGGGACATTATTATGGGAGAACTGACTTTTGGATGGGACATGTGTATAGCTGTGTTTGTGTTTTTGCAATGGGACCAAGACATCTGGCTTTAGTTCATTGGTAATATTTTTTGGTTTAGATAGTTGGTCCTGCCTTTGTTGAGTGTGACTGGATCTCTGTTTGCTGTTACCCAAACAGTTAGGAAACAACTGAATGGAGATTAGGTTTCAATCTTGGGGTCACTTAGTGTAGCTTTGTGAATGGGGTATCAGAAGTTGCCCCAGCTCAGCTAGGATTGGGTACAGCTTTGAACAAAGGAATAAACCTTCCAGAGAGTAAGCAGGTTCTACCATGAACCTCAAAAATCTGTGGAGGCTATAGGGTTCTACAAGTGGTCCTTAGATGTCACAGGCTGGACCATGCTACCTGGAGAAGGTGCATAACATACGTCAGGTGGCCAGGACTGGGGTTACAGTGGAGGTGGGAGTCACTGCCTGGGGGATGCATGCTGTTCTCTGTGCGAGGTCCTCAGGTGGTGTGGGTGAGATCACTCTGGGTTGGGAGTCACTGCTTGGGGGAGATGCCCAGGACTCTGCATGTGGTCTTCAGGTGGCCTGGGTTGGGATTGTGACAAAGTGGTGGTCATTACCTGAGGGACATGCTCCAGTCTCTGCATATAGTCCCAAGGTGGTCTGGGCTGGAGTCCCAAGTGGGTGAATGCTTCACTTTTGATGAACTGTTATCTTCTTTCAGAAAGTTGGTTGTGATGGCTTATTAGGATCTCTGGCCAGGGAGGATCATTGTGGCATATGCAATGGCAACGGAAAGTCATGCAGAATCATTAAAGGCAATTTCAATCATACCAGAGGAGCAGGTAACTCTTCTTTTTTTCTCAAAGTTAATAAACTCTAATATCTTTGTGTACAAAGATTACATTGAGCTGGATTTAGACATCACAGGTCTGATTCTACTGAAGACATTTTCAATGACTTTTGAATGATTCCTTTTGGGTGATGGTATGCAGTGCACGTTCTGTGAGGCAGACACTTGAACATGCTCATTTTCCAGCAATGAAAATATGAAGTCATCTGTTGTGCATTCAACAAGTCAGAGCAACATGGGAATAATCTAATTTGCATTGGCTAATGTTACCAGGTTTCTAGAATGAAAAGCATGCCTAACAAAAAATAATGATTTGCAACAGCTTGAAGCGGTCATTGAGAATATCAGTCTTCAGGTTTTCGGCTTTCCATTCTCGTTATTGTTTTAGTATTTTCACTAAATTTCAAGGGTAAAAATTGGAATCAAAGATCTGAAACACTGTAGCATAGAGAAACTGTAGCAGGTGTGGCAGAACATGTGGGTAAACTTCCAAGTCCACTAATAGTAAGACTTAGTCTCTCTTCTTCTACTTCCTCATCTGCAAATAGGGTATGAGGGCAAAATAAGTACGAATGACTTCTGTAGTGGCGGTTTAAAGATACTATACTCATAACAGAAACTGACAGGATCCACACTGAATTACAAAGGCCCATAACATTTTTTTAGAGAGAGAGAAAGTAATGGTGCCAGTTTCTCAGGCTTACTCGGAAGCAGTGACTCTTTTCTGTGCTATCACTAACTTCTTTCCTTGACATGTGTGTGTTGAGCTATTATTTATGACTAGTTTCATCAACACTTATTTGCCTACATTATGTATGTAGTATTTTTATTTTAAATTTTCTAGTTGAAAAAATTCTGATAGCAAAATATAAATTACTGGTGTTACATAGAACAAGCAATTTAAGTTGAACAATCAAGGAAGCTGAATTCATTTTAGCTAAGTGAATCCTTCTAAACAGAAATGCAGACAGATCTTTATGAAGATTAAATGTAATCTTTTGTTTTTCCCAAGAATAAAAGATAAACCAAGCCAAAGATTTTGGCACCAAATAATAACTAAGGCCCAGGATAGACTATGGATCAAAGACTCACTCTTCAAAACTGTGAAAAAAGTGGTACACTTCACAGGTCAGAATCTGCTAGCACTATTTTACAAAAGACACACTTAGCTAAAATAGGTTCTCAGACTTGCAGTTAAAAATCCAATTATAATTAACTGCCCTTCCTGACTGTGACAAGGGAAGTTCAAATACAATCTCAACTACTGAAGAAATACCAAAATACGACACTTTTTAAAAGAACTTAGGCATTGTTGAGTACATGCAAACAGTACCCTGAGAAGGCCAATGCACAGTCAGCTTCCATGTCTTTATTTGATGGTAATCTTCCTTTTTCCATGAAACATGAGAAAACAGGACTACACCTATCCATTCAGCAATCATTTTCATTGTAACTGCAGTTACATAAATACACTTTTTTCCCTAGGTTTTGCCCTCAAATCCTTTTTGATTTTTATTCTATGTTAAAATCGTTGTTTTTCACTGTAGGTTTCTTAGGTAAACTAAAGTTGTCTAAGATATTAGGACTATCAGAATTGCTAACAGCACTCTCTTCCTTACACCTGTGTTGAATTTTTTATTGCTCTCTGGTAAGAAACCTGAGTTCCTAACTTAGAACATGATCCTCCAGGGCATGTCCTTCACTGCTCACCAAGCTGCCCTCCTCTAAATTGGAGTCATCACATTTCTTACAGTTGTCCAACTGATCAATCATGTTTCTCACTGCAACTCACTTTTGTAATCTTTTTGGCCCTATCTGCTTCCTCTTAGTTTTGCTACGTGAATTTCTGGACATTTCTTAGTTTCAATGTCACCTCTTGAGCACTGTGTGAATCCAACTTCACTCCTATCACTATGACTACCTCAGAGATACTTATCTGGGTTTATCCATATGATCTGTCTCTGAACACATTTGAATTTTACATTTGCTTGTATTTTCTTTCTCTGTTAGATTTAAAGTTCAGGGAGGTCCTTTATGATGGCTGTTTTTGTTCAACAATATCTTTTCATTTACCATCATCATGTGCAATCTGCTAATATCTGTTTACTTATTTAATAAGGAAGCATTGTTTTGTTTAGAAATTAATGTTTTGACAAGCTGTGTGAACTCTTATTTCTGCCATGAACTCTGTCTACTTCTGATTTGAGGAATGTTGTATTTATTTCTCTTGAGACTCTTTCTGCCTAGTTTATGGACTACCTAGAATTTCTGGAAGCACTTTCAGGCTTTTCTATCCATTTGGCTATGCACATTACATACATTGTATGACTAGTACACATGCAAACACACATGGGTGCTTTTAGTCCCCTTGCTCCATTTGAGCAAGCAATTTTTGGTGATGTTAGAAAATAAACTTGAGAGGTGGCATTTTTCCCTTGGTGCCTTTAGTATGTCTTTCATTGTGATTTGCTTAATACAGCAATAGTTTCTTAGAAGATGAATGATAAATTGTGTATATGGCCAGGTGAGAAATGATACAGTTCTCTGTAGTCACTAAGAAGAAAATGGATATCAAATGTGTGATTCTTGGTATAAAAAAATGAAAATATCCTGTTGCATTAGGAATACGCAGTTTAGAGTTTTTGTATGTTTGCTTCATTGCTACAGACGTTGGGGAGACAAAGATGCATCTATTCTGGAGTCAGGAACAGTAGCAGTATATTAGAGCCCCAAATTAGTAATGAAAAAGACAAATCTTGAACAATATAACGTAGGTTGAGTAGCTTTTATTTAAGAATGTGGAAGCTTAAACAGTTCCAGACTTCAGAGTTCTTTAAAGTTGTGAATATTTGCATAGAACCTACAAACTGACTCTCCATAAGCTGAAAATCCAAACCCTGCAATTCAAAATAGGAATACTTAACCTTATATACTTATGTTTTGTGTGATATCATTATGCCTAAATATAGTAGTTTGTATAAAAAAAAACAATAGTACTGACTAGGGTATAGTAGTTGTTCAAAATACAATAATGATGATTCTGTTACTTGTGCCGTGAAGATGGTGCTTGTTACTAGTGCCTTGTATTGTGATGGTCTCCTTGTTGTTCTTTGAGACAGGGTCTCACTGTGAAGCCCTAAGGGGCCTAGATCTCTCTGTGCAGATCAGGCTGGCCTTGAACTCATAAACACCTGCCTGCCTGCCTCCCAAGTACTGGAATTAATGGCATGCACCACCACACCCAGCATTACTGACATTTTAAGATGCTGATCAATGCAATTTGTTGTAATAAATTTGCAAAGCTCGCCATCCAGTAAGAGAACAAAGTTTCCGGCTTTGACTTGGTGGCCTCATGTTGCAATTTTCAGGCTAGCCAGGAGCCTCTCTGACATTCACTTTAAAATGTGCACCCTCAGTTGTGCCAAATGCTTTATGTACTGGAAAGAACCTCACATCCTGATCACTGGCTTCCTGTCTTGAGATGTCTTCTTTTAATGTTTCTCTCTCTCTCCTCTTTAGATCAGTATAACATGATAGAGACTTGTTCTGACCATATCATATCTTAGATACAGCTTTGACTTTCCATATAATTCCAGTTTGTGGCTAAATTCAAGCAAGAATTTAGATAGACCTTTTGTTCCACCTATTTTTTAAAAAAAATTCTGAAATTTAATTTCGTCTCAACATTTTACTAAATTTATTTGCTAAGAGAGTAATGTGATACTTGCATGTGGCACCCAGTGGACTATCTAGGGGCACCTTTCTTTTTGATGTATCTGAAGATTTTGATACCCTAGACCAGCAACATTTCTTAAGATATGCCATCCACACTGGGCCAGATCGACCCCTTCTCCTGATTATTTCCACTCAATCTTGTGTTCTTCCTTTCAATCTCTTTCTTAAAAACTATGATATCACCACGGTCATGTGCTTGACTTCTTTTTTCCATTTTCTCCCTTGGTAATTTAACAAGTGGCTTAAAGTGCTGCTTCTCAGGGCCATCTTACAATGGTCCATCAACAACCTAACCTCCTGGAGTTCAAGATGTTCCCCAGCTCTTGCTTGATGTTTCACTAGCATGTTGTAACATTTTGTTAACTATAACTCACAATGCTGAACTCACCAAATTGTTAATAAAATCAGATTATTCTTTCTTGATTTCCATGTGTAAATGATGATCCAGTTCTTACCTGTGTCTGTTATTTGTTTCCAAACTTACCAATCTTCAATCTCAGAAAATGCTTTCTTTCATAATATCTTCTAGTGTTTCTTGACCATTCCTGATGTTCAACAGTAGCTTCCTGACACTGTTGTTTGTGTGGGCACCTCTGTTAACCCAGTATTTCACTGCTAAATAAAGCCTCTCCAGTCCAGAATCTAATCATCAAGTCCTTTACAATGATTAGCAGGTCCAAACTGATCAATTTATCCCCCTAAGCATTTACTCAAAATCTCCTAATGGAGTCAGCTTCTTCCGTCTTCTCTCTCCATCAGAACTATTTCTTCAAGTGCTGCTAGCTCTACCACTAACCCAGACTCTATATACAGAAAACTAATCTTTTTCTATCTACATAATTCTCTAAAGACAACTTTTTGTAAAATTGTCCTTGATTTGTATGATTTGAATTATGGTTGTTCTGGCTGATCCCAGTGTTTTTACATGCAATGTGTGTGTGTGTGTATGTGTGTGTGTGTGTGTGTGTGTGTGTGTGGTGTGTATTTGTTTCAAATATAGAATAGCAGTGAATTATTGAGTTATATGTGATCAGAAAAAGGGAGCAACTCTAAAAACTTTAGTTTATATTATAAAAAAGAATTCACCACAGTGTTTTATATATTTTAATATAATTTTACAATTTATTTAATTCATATCTAAATAGCTTATTTATGTGTTATCTTTCCAATTTAGTTATAAGCTCATCAAGGCTAGAAGCCATCCTACCTTAATTCTATATACAAATACCCACCAACCATTTGCTTCTGGTTTCAGTGTTGTCTATTTTGTTTATTTAATAAAATGTCAGTGTTTCATATTTGGGGCTACTGAAGGTGATCAAATGTTGTTTTAAATGGGTAATTCAATGATTAATTAAATAAGTTCTTGGATGAAATTCTTGTTCTTAAAGTCACATGCACAGGGACTGGGAAGATGGCTCATTTGGTAAAGTGCTTGACGTGGAAGCCTGAAGGTCAGAGTTCAGATGCCCAGGATGCATATAAAAATAACCGACCTTTTGGTATGCACTTGTACTCTCAGTGCTGAGAGCTGGAGACAGGAGGCTTCCTGGCACTTGCTTGCCTGTCCGTGTTGCCAAATCATTGAGGTCCAGGTTCAGGGTTCAGCAAGAGAACCTGTCTCAAGAAAGAAAGTGAAGAGTGACTTAGCAAGATACTTGAGATTGACATCTGGCCTATACACATATATGCATGTGTACACCCCACACACATGGACACAACATGAACACACACAGGCCAGGTGTATGCTACCGTTCTGTGTATGCTAAATAACTAAACATTTTGAGGGATTTAAATAATGAACAAGAGCTAACTTTGAAGTTATTTCTTGTGATTTTTTTTTTTTTTTTTTTGGTCTTTTTGAGACAGGGTCTCCCTGTAGCCCCAGCTGTTCTGGAACTTACTATGTAGACCAGGCTGGCCTCGAACTCACAAAGACCCACCTGCCTCTTCGTGTGATTTTTTTTTTTTAAGCATAAGCTTATCTTTTATCAGATATGTGAATCTACACAAAATGCTAAGAGGGATGTTATTTAATTTTAAAACAACTTTTAAACTAAAACTGGGCTCCTGACCTCTCTATCACTGTTCTGCACCATGTGAAACCTTGATTTCTTCTTTCTCTGCATAGTCTCCCATCTTCTCCACATCTTTATTTTATTTTACTTTATTTTATTTTATTAAGTAATAGATCCATAACCGCTGCTGAAATATATTTCCTGAGAAATAACTAACTGTGTTTTTTTTTTTTTTTTATCCGACACCCGCAGAGGGGACAGTATGCTCTCCAGCTCCACTTTCTACACCTGCTGCTAATCAGCAGGAATGCTTGGTCTCTCTTCCTGTGCTCGGGCACTCCAGGGACTGTTCCAGGCCAGCTGTGCTGCCTCCAGTGTGTTACCTCTTCTGATCTAACTTGGAGCTCCCAGAGCAAAGCCTGAGGTTCTTTGCTCTATCCTGTAATCCACTTAAGAGTCTCTAACTAGGCTATCCCCATTGGACCTCTCCCTCTCCTCACTATTCAAAAGAGCTTTTCTCCATACAGGATAATTACCTATTTAACCTCAACAGAGTTCTAGGCTCAATGTCTTTCCAAAAACTTCGCTTGAAGTCAGAGTAGCTTTAACTATCATCGTAATAAAAAGTTTTCTTTACATAGCCATTGAAGTATTGTAGCAATCGCTAAAACCAAATGGGGAGGGCAAGTCAATTAGAAAAAGAGATTTTATAAGAACCCAGATTTACTTCATGTTTTACTGACTCTTACAGGCTATGTTGAAGTGCTGGTGATTCCTGCTGGAGCCAGAAGAATCAAAGTTGTGGAGGAAAAGCCGGCACATAGCTACTTAGGTAACCCGAGCTACAGACACAGATCGCATCCAAGTCTCAGCCCAAGTTCCTGCTCTGAGAGCTATGTCATGGCAGGAAGTCATCCTGTTTCTATTTAGCTTTGAACTTCCTGGGAAGCACCTCTTGTCCTACTAAGCAAGAGTCCCTTTTACCCAGGGACTTCCCAGGAGCAAAAGCAACTTGGTCATGTACTTGTTTAAAGGGTATAAATTACTTCCTCCTGTTAGCCTATGATTAAAAAAAAAAAAAAAAAAAAAAAACTCATTAAATGACATTGGCATGTTGTATTTCAAGTATACGCGTATAAAATGTGATCCATTGATACACTTATTTTATATCTAGACATGTGTATATATGTATATAGTTTCATGAATAAATGCACACACTTTTGTACAATGATTATTTTAGAAATAGGAAATCTTGTTGCTAGTAGAGTCATATCTACTTATAGAATTTGATCTTGGGCTGGTAAGTTTCTTTGACTTGCTTCACTCCAGGAAAACTCACCTATGAACAAAATATTTTTAAAATTTTTAACTTGCTTGTGGGAAAGACTGGTTGACTGTTTTAATTAGGCCAACTGATAAATTTTAAATGCATTAAAGAAAGTATCACAGATACTAGAATAAAATAGGTTGAGGTCATGGAGAAGATCAAGCAGAATTTAAACATTTTACTTTAAATTCCTTTTTTAAATGCCCTGAAACCTTTTTGCTTAAGAAAAATGATGTTGCCATTATTCTTCCTTAACTGAGCAATAAATGTCGCAGTAGGAAAACCGTTTGCACATGGAAAACAATCCATCTTATGTAGTCATTTGTACTTTTGCGATATGAAAAGTAGTCTAGCCTTGGATTTGAACTATTTTCTATTTGGATTTGCTTTCTAAGAATAGGAATTTTTGAGGAAAAGAAACTTTAAAATTAATCCTTTATGATGTGAAATACTGATTAGTTCATTATTTACAAAGTATATATTTGATCTGATTTACTTAGTATGATTTTAAAACATACTTTAAATACTAGGAGAGCATTCTAAATTAAAGTTCTAATACCCAATTTGCAGAGGTGGTGACCATTAGATGATTAAAATACATTCATTTAATATATAAATAACTATTTCACTTGGTTATGTCTTCCTTGTCCCAAGCTGCAAAAATGTAGGTGTTTCAAATGGAATTTTTTTAATTCTATAAAATTTGAGCTAATGTTATGAGTTAATAACCTGGCAAATGCAGCTGAAAAACTCATTCCATTTTAAAAATGGGACACCTCCCTGCTGCCTCGGGCCTTGCTCCTCAGGATCCTCAAAGGACGGGTTTGTTTACCTATCTTGTTCTTCAGGGATAGCACATAGCTTCTTTTTTGAAAAACCCAATTGTCACATTATTTGACATATGAATATCATTTAAGCCTATCGACTTCTCCTTAATTCCTAAGCTCTGTCTTCTTTCATTTTCTAGAACTATAGTTCCTTTCTCTCTCTGGCTCCCTCTTACTGGTCTCCTTTGCTGGGCCCTGGACACAGTCTCCAAATGTCCTCATAAGTGGGAGCTCAGGCCTCGGCTCCCCTCTCCTTTTGGCTTTACTCTGTCCATAGAGAATCTCATTTAGAACCATCACATGTTTACTTGATGTAAGTCATCAAAAGTCCCATAGACACTACAGAAAAGTCCAAAATCAAATGTAAAGCACTTTATTTCTACCCCACCCAAACATGTTCTTTTTATTCCACATATGATAAATGTATTGTCCCTATGGTTTTGTAATAGTTGGCACAAACCTGGGTACATAAAAAAAGAGAAATAAATATATCTCTATACTTCTGGATCCCCGAAACTCCAAACCCATTTCATTGGTCCAAAATTCATTGTCTGCACAAATGCATTGTCTCTGGGAAATTAAGCGGGGAACACCACTCAGTGCTTGCCTCTTCCAGCTTCTGGAGGCTGTCAGCATCCCTTTGCTTGTGGTAACATCACTCCACCATCTCATAGCGTTCGTGTGTGTGTGTGTGTGTGTGTATTTAAATCTGCCCTGGTCTTCGTCTTATGAAGACTAGCAGGGTGGCATTTAGGACCTCCCCCATAGTTTGAGATAGTTTAGTGCACCATAGACATCAGTTGCCTTCATTTTCTCATGCTCAATAACAAATTATAATAGGCTTGGTAGTCTACAAATAACAAAAATTCATTTTTCAGCAGGCTTGAGAGCTGGGTTGTTCAAGACCATGAATCTTTTTTGTGGCCTGTCAAATTGAAGCAGCTAATGAACTATCTGGAGTCTTTAACAAGAGTTGTAATTACCTTCGTGAAAGAAAAGCCCTCTGGAAAGGCTCCAGTATGCCATTTTGGGAATTTTGTATGTTTCTTTTTTAGGAGCACAGGGATCATTACAGCGTTCTTATTCAGCTTTCCAGGCATTAATTTCTGATCACTCCTTCCGTTTCCTTCCCACTCTAATCTGATGTATTAGCAAATCCTGTTATAGCTAAAGCTATATTTCTCTGTATGCTCTCTGACCAAGCCACTCCCTATCCATCCTCCTACTCTCTTCCTTTTATAACTTACTATTATCTGAATTTTCTTATTTTGTGTTCCCATGTACCTTTTGTAGCTCTATTCTTAATTATTGGAGATGTCTGCAATGACCAAAATAAAGTCTGCTATGTGGGAGATAATATCAACATTTTGAATGAATTTTATAAACAAAGGATGTTTGCAGGTACATTTTACAAATCTCAGAAATAAAATCTCACAATGCCCAGATGAAGCAGTCACTTCTAATCTCTCAATTATTAAAAACTGTGGAACTGAGTAAAAGAGAATTTATGGGTTTGTCCGATATCACACATCTGAAATCTATAATCCTGATATGAACCCAGGGGCTAGCCATAGTGTTTGTGGTCTTTTTAAGGGTCTATAAAAAATAAATCATTGCCTTGCTTCCAAACTTGTGATTTTCTAAAGTACACATCCTTATTGAACACATTTTCCTCAAACTCCATACCCATTACTTCTTTTCCCCGTTTTTTAAAAATATTTTATTTATTATTATGTTTTAATTTTATGTGAATGAGTATATTGCTTCCATGTGTGCAAGTGCACCCATGTCGTGCAATGTCCATGGAGATCAGAAGACTTTGGATTCCCCCAGAACTGGAGTTCTGGATGGTTGTTAGCCACCATGTGGGTGCTGGGAATCGAACCCAGGTCCTCTACAAGAGTCAGCGCTCTTGAAGCTCTGCAAAAGTCAGTGCTCTTAAATGCTGAGCCATCTCTCCAGCTCCTTCCCCTTATTTTGAACTGATGTAATTTATTCTGTAGAATCAAAGAAGGGAGATATGAATCATAAATATAAATCATGTGACCACTGTTACAACTCGGCCAGTCTCACCTATTCCTTTCTATAGATCTCTACGTATAAATATCCAACCTATTTTTATTGTTTTCATTTTTATTAAAAAGCATTCCGTCCAAAATTTGGATCTCCTATCTGTCTTAAGTGCCTGATGTGATTATCATCAGTTCTCCTTGCACTTAGCTTCAGTTCTAAGTCAGGCGGTTGGTTCTCTTCTTTTTTTCAGGGGGCAAAGAAACAGCATCTATCTGCTAAAGAACATAAATAGTACTCCAGATTTTAAAGCAGTGTCACTGTATATGTTACCAAGCAACCCAAGTGCCCACTAGGTATCCTTACTAATTATTTCCTTACTAAAAATAATTATCCTAATGCAGAAGAATACAGGAATATAAGCAAAGAGACAGGTGAATAAACCCATCAGTAGAAAGGAATGCAAAAACCAGGGACTTCCAGAGACACAGATGCTGTGGGATTGAAACTTGAAACTTGAGTGTGCCATTCTAGGTTTTGGTGTAGTCTGATATAGGACAAACAGACAAGGGACAAGTTTGAGGAAAAACAGAAGCAACAATGTTAACATCTTAGGCTTCAAGCCCAAAGGTCTGCAAATGGATTTAGATCATAATCAGAGTTTCTAGAGCTCTTTTGGGTATAGAAAGGAAGTTGTAAGAAATCTTCATATGAGATAGATTTAGCAAGAGAAATAAAAATAAACCTTTGGCTAACTGATCATTCTTAAGCAATTTAAATTGCAGCCTCAGGCTATATGTTGCTGTATGGGGACATTTAATCATCTCTGCATGCATTTATCTCTTTGCATACTCTCTTTGGATTATATTCTTCTGCACAATGACTATCTTCCTCTCTGAAGATTATAGCATTATTTCATTGATGATTAATCAATCAGCCTAAAAGAAAATATCATCTGTTGAATAGTTACACAATCCTTATAGTTTATGACTTTTAAATATCTCAAAACAAGCACATGACCTGCCTACTTTATCTTGCCTGAAATTTTGCACAAAGACACTATGGAGAAAACTCTCACTAAATATAATTTGAAATGAGCAAAACCCAAAAATAAACAAACCACTTTTAGCTTCTACCTCTTCTCTTAGCTACTTTGAGATACTATAACAAAGAGTCCTAGATTGAGTGGGTTGTAAACAATAATAACACATTTCACAGCTCTTGAGGCTAAGAAGTCTGAGATCAGAGCTCTGACCAGTGTGGTTGGGTTCTGGTGAGGCCCCTTCTATGTCCTTACATGGCAGAGGGAAAGGAAGCAAGGTCTCATTTATGAAAACTGTGCCCCAATAACCTCATTTAACCCTAAGCACCTTCTAATGACCCATAGTGGAAGGTAGGATCTCAATTCCTAAATGAGGATTTAGGAAGGACAAGCATCATCCCATGAATGTCTGAACAGCAAAAATGAAATCACGAGCCAGAATGACTCTGTATGAGAAAGCAAAGCAAAGGACTTTACAAAATAAGAAGTCCAATAGGCGCTTCAGCATAAGTAAAACTTCAAAGGATTACGAGGACAGTGTGATAGAGGCGGAGGTGTAATCATGCTGAGGAAGAAGGAACAAAGAAAATGTTTCTACCAACATTAGTGTAAGGTGGAGATAAAAA